CCACCCCTGTCTCCCGTCACCACAGACCCAGTTACCGTCCCCGTTACCGTAACTGTTAGCGACTTCCACCGCCACCGTCACTGTCTCGTCCCCCTTACATTGAAGGTTTCTGTTATTGTCCTGTCCCCGTCCCTGTCACAGTTTTCGTCCCATTCAACATCACTGCTGGCGTCATAACCGCAACACTAAAACTGCCGTCAAAAACTGATCACTGTTCACCGTCCCTGTCACCACCAATGTCACCGTGACACTGTCCCCGTATCATGGTGACATTGGTGTCACACCGCCACTGCCGCTGCCGCAGCCACAGCCACAGTCACAGCCACCGCCGCCGTCAGAGCAGCAGACTCGGTAAGTGCCGACCCGTGTTCGGCGGCCGGGCGGCTGCGGCAGCCACGACGCAACAGTCGCCCTCGACAGATCGTCCGGCATTTGTCAGCGGACATTGGACGGTGGCTGGCCGCCAGTGTCTCCTAATGGCTGATTTAAGCAGCGGCCCCAGCGCGCCCCGCAGTCAGTGCTAGCAGCTCCGCAGTTCGTGCTATCCCCACGGCATCTGCTAGCGCCATGGGACCGCTCGGTCCCATGGCCCGTGATAGCAGCACCACGGCCCGTGCTAGAGCCTCGCGACCCCTGCGGAAAGCGTCGCGGCCCATCCCATCAGTCCCGTAGCCCGTATTAGGCTGTTGGCGCCCCGCGGCCCCTACTGGCAGTCCCATGGCCCTTGCTAGCAGTTACATGGTACCTGCTAGCACCCCACGGCCCGCACTAGCAGAGTCACGACCCACGCTAGCGTCCCGCGCAGCGGTTCGGCCTGCGCTAGTCTAGCAGCACCGCAGCCGGTCGGGGGATGCTGCGCGCTGCTCAGTCGCCCGGCGCCTCGCCCGCTCACTAAGTAGCCATCTGTCATTGTCTGCCGCCTGTTTATGGGACAATAAGCCGGCCCGTCAGACGGCGAAGAAGCCATCATCGTTGCGCTGAGGGTCGTTGCCACACTCTCAGACTGGTCGAAGTGTCGGCCGATCGGAGCCCATGTCACGCTCAGCCGTCATTGTTTGACGCAAACTGGCGGTGATTCTATCATACAATCTGCAGAAATAATGATCCTCATCGCGCTCATCATGTAAAATAATAGTTACATTCATGGTTTTCTCTTCAAGCGCTCCCATATCATGATTCAGTCGTCCAATACATTGCAGGCGATGAAAAGCGTATTTGGTTTTGTTCACCGCTAAAAACTAGCTTGACTGAGAACGCCATAAGCTTAGATGCGGTACACACAATGCTCATGCATATGACATTTCTCTTGATTTTCCAAGTACTAATCATCCGCACAAATGGAGTGTTATCAGATCTCAGATCTTCAATAACGATTTACTGAAGCATCGATGCTGCGGAGCACCAGAAAGTACTCCGCACCATTGACTAGCATTGTCTTTATCCGTATTCGAAGCGGAATAATGAATGAGAAAAAGCAGCAATTGCGATACACAGTAAGAACACTACACAAGTCCATGCCATTGATCAGTTGGAACGAACTACTATGTAACTTGAAAAAAAGACAGAAACTGATCCTATACAGCTTACGTTACAGCATTGATCAATGATCAGTCACTTCAAAACGGGTAAAAAGCACGATCGCTGCAGTATAGGTCCATTCGCAGCGTTTCTCGCGATTTGTTTGTTGCGCGCCATCTGTCTGCCTGTGCCGCCGTCCTGCTCCCCGGGGCCACGACGTCTGAGTGCGCTGGGAACCTCCCCGGTATGATCCACTTTCAGCCCGAGTGTTTCCGGATACCGGGCAACAGACCGCCGATCCCTGGAGCCGTGCGGTCGCTATGGCGGCCAGATCCGGCGAGAAAACTGGACAATAAACTGTATATTTAATGGCGAGGAAATGAAATGTGTGCAATGATCTCGGGATTGCTGATAATAACGAAACTAAATTTAACGCGACCTCATGCCGGTAGCGGTCATTTTTCCTTATATCCTTCACGTAATTGGATGGATTGATATTCGGTGGCCGGGGGCCATGTTGAACTGAAAATAGTAAAACCAAAAACCAATGCTAGTCTGAAACTTTCGGTATAAGAGGCAAACATCGTATGAACTTAAATGCTCCACGCCAGCACCAAAATGGCGTATGTTTTTCACGCATCCAAGTCCATCCCATCCATCGCTCATTCGTTATCCATTCTCGCGTTAGTGTCAGACGCCAGGCCATAAATCTTCGCGGGCAGCTTCCACCGCGCGCCGCCAAACAGCCGCTGTATATCTCTCGTTCTGGTTATGAGCACTACGAAACGGCCAGCTGCACTCCACAACAACGGAGCGGCTTTAAACCACTGCCTCGCACCGCGCTGGGGCACCGGTCCGCAGCTCCCCAGGGCCTCTCATCGGCTGCACTTCCTCCGCCGTCTTGGGACAGCGGGCCGACCAAGAAAGCGCCACGGAAAACAGCCTCCGACGCCGCAAAATGCAAATGCGGCGTCCAATTTCGCGGCCAAAGTTGCGTCGGTGGCTGCCGTCGCCAGTCTGAGAGGCCCGGACTGGGATTAAACTATCCGTCGCGCCGCCTGCTCAGCGCGGCGCCGCTGTATACATCACAGCGGCGGTGGGGACGCGGGCCGGACCGTCCACGGGTCGCATCGATCAGAAGCGCCAGCCGGGTCGTCCCGCTGCCTCCGTGACGGGTCAGAGTGAGTCACGGAGGAGGCCGGACCAGCCTGCTCAGGGCGTCTGCCGCCTCCACCACCGGCGGTAATTGTTTTCACTGGCAGCCGTGTCAACAGGTGCCCGTCGGTAGTTTATGGACTCGGCGCGGCCGGTGGTCGGCGACCACCGACCGGGCGGCGCCGGGCTCACTTGTGCGTCCATCGACACGGCGATACGGCCCCGGTGGCACGCAATCGATACCCGAACCATCGCAGCGACCGCAGCAACGAACAGCGCCGGGCCTCGCAAACGCAGCAGCAGCACAGCATTCGCACCCGGGGTGGCCAGTTGGCCAGTCCCGCTCTGACCCGCGGCCGGGTGGCTTTCACTGCCGCTGTGCCCCTGCAGTAGCGGCGCTCGCGATTGGCACGTGCGACGCAGCGCCGACCGGTCCGGCCGCCGGCCGGCACCGATCGTCCCGTCGATACCCATTCCGTGTGCGGTCAGCAAAACAACGCCGTGCACGGCCCGATCGCAGCCCGGCCGACGGCAGAATGACCAGTCGGGTGACGGGCGACGGAGCGCCGTCCCAGCCGACCCGCCGCGCCGGCGAGTAGAGCCGTTATCTCGCAGACTGTCTTAGCCAGGGACACACCAGCCATCCTCCTTGTGCGCGGCTCCAACAAATAATGTTACAATGGTGCTTCTCGGAAAGCACATTATGATTATATCGGTAATATTTGATATCATCCCCAGGGTAAATATAGTCTAAGTGGACGAGCCTGGAGTCGGTGGGCGGCGAGCCGTCAGACAAATGTTGATAGGTTGTGTCCAACGGTCGTCCATTGAGCGGTGAGGGGGCCCGGCGGAGGCCCCTGTGCGGAGGACGTTGGCGGGCGGCACGCTCATGGGAGACATGTCGATGATGGAGCGGCGCGCCATCTCCATATAAAGTACCCGGGGCCTATCTAATTGAGTATAACCGAGCCCCTCTTCCAAGCGTTTTATACAAGCCTATCCACTTATTTCAACATAAGCATTTATGCAAAAAAAAAAATTGAACAGGCTGTAGAAGTGTGAAAGTATTCACACTTGTTGACAAACCAGACGCATGACATCGTAAACAGCAAACACCACGCATCTTCCTCCACAGAAGTACAATCCACACCAATGAAAGGCGCGAGATGCCGCGCCCGGCACCGTTTCGTACTATCACCGGCCCAGTTTCATGAGGCGGGCCCGGCGGTGACGGGGCGGGGCGGGGTGCGTTTCCGGGCGTTCAACAGGCGGCGCCGAGCGGCCGGCCGAGCGTCGGAGCACCGTCCGAGAGCCGAAATAGCCGGCTGTTCCGGACGGCGCTCGACGGGCCGGCCCGGCGCGGACCGACGCGCCGTCGGGCCGACCGCCGAGCGCCCGGCTCACGGAGCGCGCCGTGACGTGCCGTCACCGTGCCGCGTCGGTCCAGCGAACACCGTGCCGTGCACGGGCTGACGGCCGTGGACGAGCTCTGAACAAAGGCGCCCGGCGCATCAGAATTCACGACCGTACCGTCGGCAACCGGCCAACGTCGACAAACGTAAACAACTGGACCGGAAAAAGCCAACACGGCCGCCGCCGGCGGGCCCGTGTGGTAGGCAGGTGCGCCTCTCAGCCACTCGGCACAGAAAGGAGGACGCCAAACAATCCGTATGGACTGAGGCAGACGAGATTTGGAATAGATGCAATTAAGAGGTAGATGAACACTTACTACGTCTCACTGAGACCATAAGAGGCGTATGTCATTATCAACGACCGCCGACCACCCGAGCATTATGCAAACGACCTTGTCCCGGATGAAGGCCGTTTGCACATCGGCTCTCCCGGACGCATCACTAATACATTACAGACGACGCATCGCTCGCCGCTAAGAGCCTATTTCAGAAAAAGGTAACGCTAGAATTCCGCGAGACCGCCGGTCGGACCACTTCATCACCGGGACGGGATGCCGACCGGGCGGCGCAGTTCCCAGCTCGGCCCCGGCACGCCCGCCGATCAGCGGCCTTCTCCCATACATTAGAGACGGTGGTCGAGCCACCGGCCGGCTCCGAGGCAGAGATATCGGCGGCCACGGATCGCCACCGCGCGCACTTATCCCACACAGAGGCTAATGGGCCATTAGCGTCCGGCAGAGGGCTGCAGCGGACTGGCGGCCGGTCAGGATCGGCTCGGCAGCGAGCGAAACAAACAACCGGACATCGATTCTACACGGTCCACTACTACCACATCGACCGAACGGCGGCGCTCGAGCAGGGCACACACACGTACACAGCGGGGCGGGCGCGGCAGGCCGGCGGCCGCCTCCTTACCTCGTGACAGCTGTATCGACGACGACGAGCTGCTCTTGGACAATGAATCCATGGGCCTCAGGCAACCCTGAAATAGAGCAAAGTTTAATATCATCCAGCGTTGATGAATCATGTCAGCTGCGTTCCACCACATCCACTCAGTTATCACATTTTCATAAAATGCGCACCCCAAACAACGGCAACGGAAATTGCCTTTTTCGTTATTGCAGTAGGTATGCCGTGCCGTAAAGTAAGCGCTACTGTCGTTCCGACACGCACGCACGGGGCATTCCACGTCAAATCGAACAAAAATCGGCTGTTTTGCACCTTACCATCAGCGATTTCATTATAAATTTGTGAGCGAGTTCCTGTGTGGCCCCGGACATTACATTGATGTTTTTTGCACATTCTGACCACAGGTCTTCTAAATATAGGGCATCAAATTTTTGCAAAATGTTGCATCTTTATATTTTTGAACGACCATAACTTTGGTTGTACTTGTTTGATTTGAATGAAATAAACCTTACTGTTTAGGTAATTTCTTAAGCATTCGTTTAGAATTGCACCTACTTAGATATATGACCTTGAAATTTGCTTAACTCTGTTCTTAAGCACAAATATTGAAATAGCAAAAAACACGTCACCTTCGATTTGGCTCATTTTCATATATTTTATTGCCTACCATATTCTTAACAACCTGTGAAAAAATTAGAGTGGGCCATTCATAAGTTTTGAAGAAAGTTGCACATATGCAAACGTATGTTAGCACGCGCAGTGGAGGGGGAAGAACGAATTTCGCCCACCCCTCCTGCTTTTCGCCAATATCTCATAAGATTAATGCGAAATTAATTATGGCTACCTGTCAAGAATTGAATTGGACATCTCATCGTGCAAGCAATAAGAAAATCGGTTCACAACTGTTCTAGTAATAGCGGTGTAAAGTGAACATCCTGTCGCCGCAGCAACGCGGCGACTCGGCAGCCGGCGCCGACCGCCTGAATTGTAGACTGTGCCGGGACGGAACGGAACGGTTCCGTCTTTACATCGCGCTCCCTACCGCTGATTACGTTCGATTCGCGTCAAATTTTGTGAGAAGACTAAGAAATGTACAGGCAATCTTATGGTGAAAGAAGTTTGAAAATCAGTTGGTAAACAATTGAAATATGAACGTGTAAACACAAAATTGTGATTGCTGCGTTTCCCGCATTGGCCGAGCCCGCCTCAGCCGGCGACATGTTACTCTTAGCAGGCCTCTAACTGCCATATTTATTATTGGATTAACAAGAAATTCCCCATACATACTAAAAAATGTATGTTCTTTCGTATAGTGAAGATCAAAAGACGTGAAGATATCGTTGCGTGATAATGTTTTCGTTGAATTTACTTCATGACGCATTTCCACACGGCTCAAAATTCACCGCAAAATACCGTTTGCCTGAGACACTTTTACTATGGAACGTGAATGCTTGACTACGATGACTATGCATTTCCATTCTCGAAGAGTTTGGTATATCACTAATCAGCAATCATTCATTTCAGAAAGTGTACACAAGCAAGCATGTCTTGACTCTGTCTTTCAAGGTCACGCGCGGTTGCGTGATGTTGATGCATGAAAACGGCGTTTGCCGCGAAAGTTATGAATGGCCCACTCCAATTTTTTCACAGATGGTTAGGAACATTGTGACGGACATAATATGTAGAAATTACCCAAATCGAAGGTGACGTGTTTTTTGCTAGTTAATTTTTTCTGTTTTAATTCAAGGTCAAATGCATTTCAAGGTCACTTCAATTTAATTTGATAATTAAAAATCAAAGCCTTATCAATTGCCTATAAGAACCTGTTAATATCGTTTTGATACCAGAAAAGGAACCAGAGTTATAGCCATTTAAAAAATTGATGTGTGGCATTTTTCGCTATATTCGATGACCTATATCTCAGCGATACGTTATCAAATTTCAAAAATATTATTCGTAACTCAGTTTTGAACCATGCCCAGTCTGCCTACACATTTTCAGAAAAATCGAAGGGGATGACGGATTTCGGTGTTTGATTTGACGTGGAATGCCCCGCACGTAAGCCAGGCCGCAAGTTCATGCCAGGAAATGGGTTAAGTCGGCCTTGGACGTCACAAGAGCGCTGAATTACTAATACAGGCCGCTGTGGGGCACGCCATCCAGGGCTCTACCGCAGGGACGAGCCAGACCTGCAGTCGATTGAGCCTACCGGTGAACGCACTTTAATCAAAACGGTCCTCCGGTCCGCATCAAACATAATGGCAAATATGTTTGCATATTTGTTTGAATGTTTGTTGACTTGTTCGGATTTGATGAGAAACTGAACCAGGCAGGATATGTTTCAGGTCTCAGGCCTAATGTGACACAATTGCCTCGTCGTTTGAATACTGCTTAGCGGTGCAGCTTCGATCGGATACCTATAAGAACTTCACCTTCGATAAAATCATTTTGATTTGTGATTTTAGGACACCATCAGAGCTCATCGGCGCATAGAACGTCAGACTATAAAAATGTAAGAATAGTATTAAAATATGTTGCAACCACTGAAACCATCTGTCTTCATATAAGATATCAAATCGTAGATTGTTGAAGGCCACTTGGGCTGTTAGGTCACGATCGTACCGAGCTTGACGTCGCACGTGACTGGCATGTTTTCAGTCAGGGGTGAAGAAAATGATGTCACTCCAGTGCTTATCGAGGCTGGCCTGGTTCTTCTGGTTCTGGTTCATGATGGGGAAGAAGTTAACAAGAGAGGGGAATGCGTTCCAGTCGTTTGTGGCCCGAACCGCCGAGGCATTCATTTGAAACAGAGAGGTAGCTTGTGGCTCGTCGACTTTCAATGGGTGACCTCTGAAAAGAACCGTTCTATTTACAGGTTGCGCCTGCCGACAAACATCTGGTAAATAGCGATCATGTTCCCGTGGCCATTAGCGTCTCTGGCAATACACGCTTAGGAGTTTCAGCCGGCAAAGGCAGTCTGACTACGGGAGGTGCTAGAGGCTCTGAACAAGCTTTGTTTCAAAGTGATCATTCGCAAGCATACTAACTTATTCTGAGGTAAGGTCACTTCATGTGACCTGACCTTGAACGACCAGGGTCTGAAATTTTCACAACATGTGCATAAAGACGCATGCTAAACAGGGGTTCCAAAAATGGTGGCCCACAAAAAAAAAAAAATAGCAGGGGTGCCCAAACATCACCCCTCCCCCAGCCCAGCATGGGTTTATCACCAAATTCAAAGTGAATTTTAAGGCTTATAGCACAGCTCACTCAACTATCACATCAAGTCTCTTGACACATGCTTATCAGTGTTAGTAGACTCCTCCCCGTGGCCTAGTGGATAAGGCGTCCATCTCCTAACTCAGTGGCAGCTGGCAGCGAGTTCGCGGCCGGGAAGCTTCACGTCGTTTGACCCGCGTTCCCATATTAAGCCAGCTGTCAACTGGCGAGAGGGCCACACTAGACCCGGGAGGACCGTGCCGCCATCTACCTGCGGCATGTTAAACTTTTGATCCAAATTATCACCGGTGAACCGGGCGCGGGCAAGGTGGGGTGGTGGGTCCGTGGTGTCATTCGCAACAAGCACTGCTTAGCTGGGCACCCGGGCCCATAGCCACCCATTCAATCATTCAGACAAAATTTCTAAAAAAGAGAAGAAAAAACAGTGATATCACAAGAAGGCAAGACCCAAACTCCACGGCATTGCAATCCCTTAGAGGTCTTATCAGTTCGGAGGAACTCATTTGGCGCACAGTACAGTGCAGATTCACTCGAGTGTGATGTGGAGTTTGCATAGAGCAGTGCTGACCCACCCTGTCCCTAGGCCTAGCTCAGTAGGCGGAACTATGGTCAAGCGTACCCATTTTCGGGAACGCATTTTCGTTCCCATGTTTGGGAACGATAAACCCAAATATGGGAACGCCATGTAGGAATTATTTAAAACAAGAAAAAGAACCGTTAAATGACGTCCAAAAAATATAAAACGATCGTGAACCGCCTGATATTTGTCTCAATATTGTTGCGAAAGAGTTCGATATTGTAAGGCCCATCGTAGTTTCAAATCGTTCCCCTATTTCTAAAGCAGTCCATCATCCGGGCCGCGAACCCAAATTTGGGAACGCTCTCGTACGCTGGCGCTGCAAGCGTTCCTTATTATGGGAACGGCGTACCCAAATTTGGGAACGATTTCAACGACGCCTTTCAGGGGCTCTTTTCATTAACAAGCATCACGTCCAACGCCGCAAATTATTGTTAACACAACAATCATCAGATGACCTTTCCGGCAAGACCGTCGCATGTTTCGCCCGGTCTTCTGCGCTTTTATTCCCGTCGATCTCGCAGCGGGCACGCCCCCCTCTGCAGGATTATGTAATTCACAACGCTCAGCGATGTTCAACAAGGTCTTCCATACCTATATCCACCGTCCGCGCCGAGGGTGGAGACATGTCAAGCACCTGTCTGTTTATCACCGATAGTTGACGAGCACAAGGAAGTATCCAAAAATGGGAACGCTGAATATGTTACACCCTCAAAACACCTAGTCCCATGGAAAATCTATTTTTTTCCTTTCTTAATGAGTGTAAGTGGCAAAAGGCCTGGTAGGATGGGCACGAGGAATGATCGAAATCAGCATAAAAATTATAAATAAGCCACACAGAGCGACCTATATAAGAGAAATTCCCCCAAAACGATCATGCTTAGAAACACGGAAGACAAAAACCACGCTCATGACGCTCCTTATGAAACAACGCTAAACAGCTAGCATCCAAATAAAATATGTCTTTCCGGGCTGATAAAGTACAGCTGAATAATTTTAAACCACTGAAACTGAGTTTACAACAGTAGTTCGGTAAAATCACTGACGTTCCACGCGGTCGTGCGCCCCGACACCAAAAGTCAACAATATTTCCTCGGGACTGTCCGCGTGTTCGCTTGCATATGTCAGCATTTAGTGTCGCTAGAATGAAACTTCATAACCAGGCGAAAATTATTATACTTGACCTCAAAATATAAAAAACGCTTCATTTTCCTTTAAATTGCATGTTAAATGTAGTATAACCCATGTTTTCACCATTCCGTCATTTCAAAAAATCATTAAAAATATCATTCGACGGTCAATTTCCTTGTTCAACGGTCAGATTAAAGATAATTTTATAGAGATTTAGTAGATACTTAAATTAGCGTGCACTTTTTTGAGACGTGATGCACTTATGAGTTTTAGTGGGCGAACGGCCGAAAAATTACCTTCCGTTCTCATAAATGGGAACGCCCGTTCCCATATTTGGGAACTCCGCTCCCAAAAATGGGAACGTTCCTATATTTGGGTACTCATGACCATAGTTCCACCTACTGAGCTGGTGTGCCTCACCGACTATTGCCTCACTTTGCAGTCTAGGGAAAAACCAAAGTGCCCGCCCAAGAAATATATGGATCGCTTTATTAGATACTGACTTTCAAAGTTTATAAAATCCTGTCAGCTGTTAGCACATGCTGATGCTTGTCAGTGTTGATAGACACCAGCTTAAATAACTAAGGGCTCGAATAGTCATAGTGGGGTCATATATTCACCAGTTATGGTTCTTTGGTTAGTTCAGTCAGGCTCAAACTACTATCTTAAAGAACTGCACCCATTTTTAAACATGCCTGTCATACCTTTACACAGGCTTCAATCCAAAGGAAATTGCATTGTTTCAGGGAAAATATTAATTAGATTTCTGAGGTCTCGGTGGAATGACACCTATCAGCCACAACAACTATCGCATAATGGATAATCCAAGAATACACAAATACCTATTTCCTTTACATTCTATCATAAGATTTATCTGCAGCACACGATCAAAACAATTCACAAACACCTACCACACCGCCCACAACCCAACCTCGGGCACCAACACCAAACTGCAACTGCTTGGGAGATGTCGTGATTTAGAATGCTTGATAGTAGATGGATCACTGATGTCATTAAAATTGGCCAATGGTTAAAGTAGGCTCTCCCTTCTAGTAAAGAAATAAGCCAATCAAAAGCGAGAATGGCTCTCTTTTTCAGAGTACTCATGACGCAATATACCAAATAAAATTTCGACGTAATTTTAACGCGTTAATGTTGTAGATTTAAGGTTGTCCGATTTATCAACAATGCTTTGCGATTTGCACTAATTTACTGTCAAATGTGGAATGAAAAACTGTTATCCGAAACACCCATCACCACGTAATGTCAGAGGTCTGGTGTTATGACGGTCAGAAGCGCCCAGGGCGTAGGGCAACAGCTGCTTTAGCTTCGCTTCTCGTAACCCGCTTTTCTCAGCCATCCAATCGCTGTTTCACACATCTCTCGATTAGGGCGGTTATATGGCCTTGCTTAGGGCCAGCTTAGGGCCTTGTTTTCGCCCTAATCCAATATACCCTGGTTTTCGCCGCGCTTCAAACGGGCATGGAAGGTCTGAGAAGTCGAGCACATTTGCTGATAAGACTACGAGATGCGGCTTGCAATAAGACAAAATAATAAAATATTGCACAGTATGTATATCTTATAAGATCACAGCTGGCACATACAAGCAACCGATCACCTCCCAACACCAACGAATGCTCCCTTTCATCCATTCACCGCGTACCACTTCAGGCGAACGAAGGGAGGCGTCGCACGACATGCCGTACCATTGTTCGGGTCATAACGAGATCAAGGTGGTGAGCTGAACCCCTCACACCTGTCGCAATTTGATCCGGTAAAAGAAAAGGACTACGCACGTCGCGATTCTAACCATAATTGGTTTGAACACATTTACTGACCAATAGCTGTACGCATTTACCTGAGCACATTTACGCCAAACATCAGCGTAAATTTACCACGATACCTTTCAGAAGAGAAGTTGTAAATAGGACCAGGACCGTAAAGAAGGCCGTTCTCTCAGCGGAAGCCAATTTGAACGCGACAGACGGTCGAATATGTGTCGTCTGTCTCATCATGACCAGCACAGTTTCTCTAACAGCGTAAAACATTAACAGCTGAATCTAGTGTGAGTAATAATCTAGTGTGAGTAATAGACCACAATAGCTCTACAAAAGTGAAAGAGTTAAGTGTTCAAAGCGGGGCAACTAACGCGTGGTAATGCTTACTTATCAAATATTAACGAGAAACAGCTGATACAGATGAAAGTGACCATTCACTTTTCATTCGAGGAATAAATACTGCCGTGCAAAGGCAAAGACGATTACACTGGGTCAGAGGTCATTATGTCAGGTCAGAGGTCACCCGAACGTAATCCGTGTTTGCCTTTGCACGGTAGAATATAACTGGAAAGTCACTTGAAAAAATGTATCCTAACCAGTAACCTGTGAAATAGTAACACATGAAATGCATAACAGTTAACAAGAAACCAGAGTCACAAAAATGCGTTCATAAGAATTAAATTAAGTCACAAAGCCGCCTATTTGTCTCATGCTATGCAAATTGCATATGTAATTTTGTTCGATCGATCAGGGCATTGGGCTATCTTTGAACATCCGTTGACGTTCTCTCTCGACCCCCCCCCCCCCCCCCCCAAGTTCCACTCAGAACACATCCCATTCGGCGGCGATGGGCGTTCCGGAGGACAGTTCGACCTCCATCGCCGGCTCGGGCAGGGGTGGAGGCGGCGGCGGCGGCTGGGTCTTCACCCGTTTCGCATTCGGCCGGTGTCCCTTGGGCTCCGGTCGCGCGTGTGTGGCCATGTGGCTCTTGAAGCGGTCGCTACGGTGGACGGTGTAGTCGCACAGGGTGCAGCGGAACTGTTTGCTCTCGTCGTGCGTGCGCATGTGTCTGCTGAGATGCGTCTTTACGTTGAAGGTGCTGTGGCAAAGCGGGCAGTGGTGGCTGCGTCGCTTGGCGTGCGACTGCAGGTGCTCGCGCAAGTGGGACCGCTTGGGCGTGGTGTACTGGCAGCCGGCGTGCGAGCACCGGTGCAGGTCACCTGTGGAGCAGGGAACAAAGAGCAGCGGTCAGACGGCGGGTCAGACGGTCAGAACAGCGGTCAGACGGCGGGTCAGACGGTCAGAGCAGCGGTCAGTCGGCGGGTCAGCGGTCAGAGCAGCGGTCAGACGGCGGGTCAGACGGTGGACGGAGCAGACAGGCATCAGTAGACGGACAAGCAACAACAATGTCCGGCGCAGGCAGTGGTCAGAGCAGACAGACAGACAGACGTCAGTTAACGGTCAGACAACGATCGACACAGATAGCGGTCAGACGGCACAGACAGCGGTCAGACAACAACAATCAACACATACAGCGGTCAGACAGCACGTCAAATGTAAAAGGGCACAGAGATCATTCAACGGTCGGATGACAATGATAATCAGCGCAGATAGCGGCCAGACAACAGCACAGACGGTGGACAGGCAGCACAAACATCTGAGTCAACGTTCAAACAACACAGATAGCGGCCATTCAACAACAACGGCCAGCGGCGCGGACCGTCGATCAGACACCACAGACAAGACCTGATGGACAAACGCTGGGTGGAGCACATAAAGAGGCAAACAGCAACCAGATCAGACGCCACAAACAAGGGCCAGACAGCTGAATAACCTAAAGATGCGCTAAGCATCAAATAATCGATATGACACAAACAGTTCAGGCAAACACCACAAGATGTGGCAAATCAGTTATGGCACTTGGTTCATTAGTTGTCACACAATTAATGGCAAGCTTTCCACCAACAGAACAGCATAATGAATAACCGCGGCTCATTATGCCATTGGTGACTTTTTCACTACCCACCCAAGCGAATGACCGGGAAAACCCCGTTGGAATTGCTTCACTTACCGGCGTGAATTTTCTTATGCGTGATAAGGTGGTTCGCGTATTTGGTGGAGAAGTCACACTCGTCGCAGGCGTACTTTTTCTCGCTCGAGTGCTTGTTCATGTGTTGCTTAAGCGTGGTCCTCAGGCTGAAGGTGACCTTGCAAATCGTACCTGCGTAACACACGGGTCAGAAGTCAATAACGGTAGGGAGAGTTTTCACGTATCCACACACTGGGCATCATACAAGCCGGCAGACAGCATCACAACCGCCATCGAAGAATGGCCTAATCGTCATAGCAAAGACTGCCAAATCGCAAGACGTCAAAGGTCTGAAACCGTGAACACCCTCCTTGAATTCACCAATGTGATCAGTAATTCTTACTCGCGGACGTGCTATTCTCGAAAAACTTAACAAAGCTGGTATAACTCACACTGGAAGGGCTTCTCTCCGGTGTGAACACGCATATGGTGGTCCAGGTTGCACTTTTTCCAGAAGCTGAGGTTGCAGTCGGGGCAGCGGTAAGGCTTGTTCTCGCCGTGCTCCCGCCGGTGGCGCAGAAACACGGAGAACACGGGGAACTCGCGGAAACCTGAGAGAAACACACGGTGGTCGTTAGAAACACATGAGAACTCGTGGAAACATGCGAGAAACACAGGGGGACGGGGCGTCAGAAACAACCAGAACAGGGGGAACTCACGGAAACCTGGCGGAACGAAACGGGGGGATGGGGTCGTCAGAAACACAGAAAGGAAAAGGGGCTCACGGAAACTCAGGCGGAATGAAATAGGGGGAGGGTGCATTGGTCAGAAACATGGAGAAATCTGGGAACTTTCAGAAAGCTGAGCGAAACAAAACGGGAATAGAAAATCGTCAGTCAGCGGGAAAAGGATTTGGCTGCAGCCGCTCCACGCAATTAAGATCCCGGCCCACCACAGCGCGAGACCGTGAATTGCGACGGAAATGATGTGAAGGTGCCGAGATTGGGAATCAAAGAACTTCCCTTACTGTTGAGAAAACTTTTCAAACGAATGGTTCCAAAAAAGGCGCCGTGAGGATTCAGCGGCCACATCTCTAGCTCGTCACGTCGGTTTTGACGGACAAACAGTCACATTCAGAACTTTTTCAACACTCCAGTTCAGTTTCTGTCAGAAGATAAGCTTTTTGTTGTTCCCAGCGGGTCGAGATGGTCTGGCATGTTTTTCAGCAACTAATTAATTATCAATCTACGAGATTTTGGCCTTATAGCTTGTGACAATTGTTCCCATGGCGAAGAGAAAACGCACGGAACAATATAAAGAAAATGCGAATAAATGCGAATAAACTACGGACACAAATGTACGCAAATGACCACGGAAAATGATAAAAAACGTGTTACAATCCTCAGCTGCCGGAGCAAGGTAATCAAAGCTAAATCGTAATAACGAAATCGGCTGCCTCATTCCTGCGGCAGTCACAATGTGTTCAGTTACCACTCCATACATCATCCCCCAGAAACACTCACATATGGAGCACGTGAACGGCGGGCCCTCAAAGTGTGTCATCATGTGTTTGACGTAGAGCGCCTTCTTGTCGCAGGTGGTCTCACAGATATTGCACATGAACGTCTTCTTTTTCTGGTCGGTGGGCCGGTGCTTTGCGGCAATGTGTTTGAGCAGGGCCGATTTCAGGGTGAACACGGACTGACAGCGCGAGCAGGCGTGCTGCTCAGGCCGCGCCGGCGGCGGAGGCGACTGCTGCTGCGGCGGCGGCGGCGGCGCCGGAACGGGAGACGGCGGCGCCGGGGCCACAGCCAGCAGCGGCGTGAGGTCTGTTGGCAAAACGACGGAGCGCGTTAGAGTGGGTGGACGGGCTCACGGCCCTCTCTACTGACAGAAATGCGGAGCACATACATTATAATTAGCAAGCAACACTAACAATTAAGAAAGAATCATCAAAAGGCTGCATTTTCAAGGCTGCTTTCTTAGACTTCGCATGTGGAAAGGAATGAATAGAAGAAACGCCTCTTGTGAGGCTGTAGTTACTGCCGTCAGCTGTAATGAGAAAAATACCACATTGTTGAGTGTGAACTTCATGCTAAGGATGAAAATACTAATTATTGAGTGTTATTTCAAGAGAGAAACAGCTTGCTTTAACACAGCAATAATAATATCACAGATGCCAGCTATAGTGCCAGGTAGCTCTAGTGCCAGCTATGTAGACAGCTAGACTCACCTGTGGTGTTCGCGGGACCCAGCTCCTCCTCTCTGTCCGGCGGCGGTGGCGGCGCCTGCCGCCTCAGCCGCTTCTTCTTTGGACTGTGGTTGACGTTGGGCTCGCCTGCCGGCGGTGTCGCCGAGCTCGGGTCCTCCTGTCCGGCGGCGCCGTTCGGCCGCTCGGCGTCCGGCCGCGGCTCGGGGCCGGTCGCGCCGCGCAGCTCCTCCTGGATGGCCGGCAGCTCGTGGTCGCCGACCGGCGCCGCCGCGTACTCGGGCTCGGGTGGCGCGCGCAGTTGCTCCTGCAGCGACTGCTGGTTACGTTCGTGGATAGTGCGCAGTTCCTCGGCGAGACTGGGGTCCAGCTTGCGCTTTTTGGCCGGCATGGGCAGCGGCTGCGGTGGCGGCGGCGACGGGACCGGCTCGAGGCGCAGCGAATCACTCTGGTACACAAACACCTGGTCGGACTCGCTCGGGCGCGCCAACTCGGTCTGCTCGAAGCGCGCCAGCTCGGCCTGCTCAAAGCGCGCCTGCTCGAGCTGTTCGAACCTCGCCTGGTCCACCTGGCGAGCCTGTTGCACGTCCCCGAACCTGTCCCCAGCCGTCTCGGCATACCGGCCCTGCTCGGGCTCCATAAACCGCCCCTGGGACATCTCCCCGAGCCTCTCTTGGTCACCAACAAATCTGCCGGGCTCGTCCGCAAACCTGCCTGATCCGTCCTCGAATCTGCCAGATTCTTCGAACCTTCCCTGACCTTCAAATCTCCCCTGGTCATCAAACCTTCCCTGCTCTTCAAACCTGCCCTGACCGTCAAACCTTCCCTGGTCCTCAAACCTCGCGTGGTCTTCAAACCTCCGCTCTTGTTCGTCGCACTGCTCCTGCAGCGGTGACAGCTCCAGTTTGGCCAGCAGCTCCGCCCGGCGGCCGTCGGAGTACAGCAGGCTGGACGTCTGCTCTGACGGCGGCACGACCACCAGCGGCTCCAGCGGCGCCGCCTCGCACCCGTACGGAGCGGGGTCGTACGCGCCGCGCCCCTCGCCCACCTGGTAGCAGGTCACGTCGCGGCCCGACCTCGTCGCCAGCGGCGGGTAGCGCGGCTCGGCCGGCGCCGACTCGACGTCCCGCTCGAAGCGGCACTGCGCCAGGGTGAGCTGCTGCTCGCAGTAGGCCGGCTCGCCGCCGCCCGAGCCGCTGGAGGTGACGGTAGCAGTGTCGGCGTACCAGGGCACCATGCACTGCGCGCCCAGCGCCTGACCCTGCTCCAGCCGGCGGTCGTCGCCGCCCGACACCGGCGGCTCCAGCTTCTCCGGGTCTCCGTCACCGGGCCGTTTCAGCACCACCACGTACTGCGCGTCCCCGGCGGACATCAGCGAGCCACCGCCGTACGCGCCCGCCATCTCGTGGCAGTCTCCGACATTTCTGTATCTGCCGGCGGTCCGCGGGGCAGCGCGCGCGTGCTCGCTGTACCGGGGGTCGGCCTCTGCGGCCGCCAGCTCGGCGTACTTGTCGTGGGCGGAGGATACGGCGACCGAGGCCGGCGGCGGCAGCTGCTCCCCGGCGGCGTCACCGTACTCCTGGTACCGCATCAGCGCGGCGGGCGCCAGCTCCTGGTGGCGGCCGGCGTGGCGCGGCTCGGCGGCGCCGTGACAGCGCAGGTCACGCGCCGTCTCCTGTTCGGCGGCCGGCGGCGCCTCTCCACCTCCGCCGCCGCCGAGGGCGTCCTCGATACCGGAGAGCGAGAACATCTCGATCGGCGCTGGGTTCTGGCCGGAGACGGCTGCCTGAGGACAGAGCAGCGCCTTAGAGCGCGGACGGCACCAGTGCCGGCCAGAGGACCTCAGCGAGCACATACATGTGAACAGTTCAACGTAGGAAAAACGGGATGTCATTCAGGACTGTCGACACAATTCTCGGACAGGAGAGCAAACGTAAAAATAGAAAGCTGGCCAGGCTAACGTCATGCCAAAAAACAATCCTACCTGATTTACGATAGCCGTACTTTGCACGAATAGGGCCGAGGTTACACTAGGCCAATTGGTTTAATATGGTTTAATGCGACAGTGCCGAGTTTCAAAGGTCAAGTTCGGATTCAACACGATATCAACAAAGTTGCAGTAAGTAAATTTATAAGTGACAGATACCAGCCTTGAATGGTCGTCTTGAGTTCAACACAGACTACATAGATGAATGAATAATTCCACCAATAAAACACCAGACATTGTGTTCCATTACATGGTGCCCGTCCCCTCTGTCTGGTATCCCATCCCCATTAACGGAACCCGCCAAAATCCAGTCTTGAGCACGCAAGCACAATCAGCCACTTCCAGCGTGACATATTTATTGATCAAAGCCAAAACACCGGACAATCGATGTCTGGAGCCAGGTGACGCAAGCTATGCACTTGCTGCACTGTCAAGCGCGTCATATAGTATCATAGATTGACACCTCAATTGTCCAGGGGCTGGTCTAGCTTTGCGTTTTCAGCGCCAAGAGATCAACTCATAGGCAAAAAGGTTTTCCAGCGGTGGGTTGTTGCCCGACAGAAATAAAAAATGAAGACCGGGGTTCGGGGTGGCAGTTGGTTGTTCGTAGGCGACGAGGAATAAGACAGAAAGAAACAAAGATAAAGAGAAAAAGAAAGATACAGAGAGAAAGAAAGAGAGAAGGAAAGAGGGGGAAGAGAGATGAAAGATTAAGAAAGAGAGAAAAGATAACGTGTGTGTTAGACTGGTCGTGAATCATTAACTGGTCGTGGTCATTAACCCGCGCCCCACTGGGGTCTGTGTATAACACGCCCTACTGGGGGGGGGGGGGGGCTATTCATAGCTCCCCCTCCTAACTCCGAAACTACTGGGCCGATCGTCAAAATTCAAACGGCGTCTGATAGCCCCGGAAAAACTGTCGAGCGAAACCTAATTTCATTGACCTCGAGGTCACCGATGACGTCACAGGTCAGGTCAAAGTGAAAATTTTTAGCACTTTGGCTTGTTCACATTTTGGGCTCTGGCCGCCGTCTTACAAGTCAGATCAGGCTCATTTTTTGTTTCCACACTCGTGAACAGATGCTCTAGATACCTTGAGGGTACCAAACTTGTACTTTGATTTTCAGGTCAGGGTCAGGTCATCACAGGTCACGAAAATATTATATCATGCGTCGGTCACGTGACACATGTTTTATGGTCCATTTAGGCCATAGATTTCGAATTTGATGTCGTCTGTGTCATTCGAGGTCATTTTGAGTCGAATTTAGCTTAGGTCAGGTCACTTTCAGGTAGAAAAAGGTCAAATTTTGAAGTTAAAATTTTTCAACAAAAAAGGTGTCTATTGGATGCAGTTTGAGCTCAGGAACACGATGGTGCCATTTATATTGGTGTATGCTGTCAAATACGTACTGAAAAATTGTTTTGAAAAATTAATAATTGTGAATTTTTTGCAATAATGCGTATAACTTGGCCATTTTCATATTTAGCTCAAACTTGCTAGAGTTAGTCATAATCATGCGTTCTGTCACATATATTCCGGTTTTTTTTCGAAAAATCAAAAACTTTTTGATAAAAATGTAAAAATATAAATTTTGAATATTATTCAATAAGATTTTCGAAATTTTCAAAATTTTGAAAATCCGAGATAGCAGTTTGATAGCGCGGTCAATTCTGAGTCCTTTCATGCAAAGAAATTGGATCTAGCTCAAAAACTGAGCTCTTGGGAGCGATTGCCGTGGTTCAATGTTTTGCGTCGAAATCGGACGAACATGACGTCACTCTGACGTCATTTCCGGCCGACCTATGGTAGCTACGAAGTTCAAATTTCGACACAAGGTGTCAAATTGATGCAGCCGAAGGTACTGAAAGTTTGGCGTCGATCCGTCAAGCGGTTTGGAAGTTATTGTAGAAAAACGGGAGGGGGGGGCTATAAATAGCCCCCCCAGTGGGGCGCGGGTTAAACCGTAGATATAGACGAACTCAATACGGGTTATGTCTCCACTTCCATCCGTCGTCTAGGAGGAATTAATGCTGATGTACATAGGTACTGCCAGACATGTGCATGGATCCAAGTGATGGATCAATGATCTCAGTGGATCTCGCAGCAAACTGCAGGCTAGGATCTATGATCCCACTGGATCCGTCGTAAAGAAATTAATCTGGATCTATGATCTCATAGGATCTGATGATAAATCAAGAACATGGATCTAGATATTCTGAGTGGATCCCAGCATGCACAACATTTGAAACCAGGTTTGCAAGTGTTTCTATGTCAATAAGTGCCACAAAACTATGGATTATGATGTGCAATCACACAAAATCTCTAAAACAAAGAGTTTGTGAGCTGCAACGAGTGATTTTCTGGGATTTCTGAGTTGACAAAAAGTAAATGAGGATCTATGATCTCACTGGATCTCAAGCAAAAAAAAAATAAACTCGGATCTGTGATCCCTACGGCTCTTTCGTCAAGTTGAAGAGCTGGATCTACGATCCTGACGATTCCGAGATCAGGATCTGTGGATCCTGATCCCGGATAGATTCATTTTCTCAGATCCATGCACATGTCTGGGTACTGCTGTAAAACAAACATCGGGCAGATCAAACGATCACCATTCTCACAGGGTTTCCTTCAGCTTAGTGTATTTCGAGAAACTTACTGTCAAAGCTTTGAGCCGGCCCAAACTAGCAGCCACCATCAAGAGTCAAGACTATAGAACTCCGCCACTATAAAGTGATAAGCACAAATACAATACTGATTTTTAGATCAGGATCTTGAAGCTAAATAATCATAACATAGCATAGCTTGAAGCTTGTGATTTTTATTGAAGGAGCAATGTGCAAGCCACGATGAAATCGAAGCAGGGGCGCTGTATAATGGCGGCCACTGTAAGAACCTATAAATGGTCAAACAGACACCTAGGTACTGATTTATGCCGCAGCTCTGCTAACGCGAGCATGCTGCATCTATGGACAGCAAACTGGCTCGATAAATCAGCACGCTAGATGGCATCCTGACCTGCTGGTGAATCATCCACCAATCCCTACTGAATATAACGAGAGCAAAACTGGGAGCTGCCAGAGTCAACCTGAACTTTCTATTTGTCATTTGAGCATCAAGCCGATTTCAGCGTACAGATTCATCCACAATTAATGCAGCAATGCCAAACTGATGCCAAAAAATCGTTATACTTTTAACTCAGTCACCGATAAGGACAGGAATTATGATATGCGATATATAAAACATTACATCACGCTGAAAAAAAATCTCAACGCTTGGAAAAGAAAGCGTAGATTTTGTTACAAAGCGTTAAAGTTAATAAAAACGTAGGTTTGTGTCGCGGTCACTCACTTCTAGGAAAACTGACGATCTCGGTCCCGCAGTAGGCACAACTCATAGCGAGGACTACAATGTATAATGAATGGATACGTCTATCATCGTGAAGATTGTGACACCTATAATATAATATAATGACACCACTATAATATAATGACACCACTTATAGCTACTAAGTGCTAAGGTGTTAAGAGATGTTTAGTGTAAATGATATAGTGATTCGCTGTTATACGTATGACGCATTTCATTGTGATTGCCTATCATAACACTAGTGTTTCCTGCGATAATATATTCGACTATAGCAAGAAGTATTTGAGCCAGCTCTGAAATTGCAGACCACTTGGTAATGAGCAGGATCGTCAAAATGGCATCAGACGAGACGGTGGACGCAGTCGTCACTGCCCCAAGGCCCAAACCAGGCTGAAGATGTAACGCGAGTTATTTCCCACTAGCCGAAGGAAAGCAGCGCCCCATCCGTCTCCTGCGACGAGCTGCTGGTATCCGTCTGCGACGAGCTGCTGGTATCCGTCTGAGACGAGCTGCTGGTATCCGTCTGAGACGAGCTGCTGGTATCCGTCTGAGACGAGCTGCTGGTATCCGTCTGAGACGAGCTGCTGGTATCCGTCTGAGACGAGCTGCTGGTATCCGTCTGAGACGAGCTGCTGGTATCCGTCTGAGACGAGCTGCTGGGCTGGAAACCCTGCGGCCGGATCATCATCTTGGTCTTCTCGATGCCGTCGTGCCAGGTGACCCAGACGGCGCCGCGGTACAGCGGGTGGTCCGGCTCGTAGCGGCCGTTCAGGTTGGTCACCACCATGCAGAACGCGTTCGTCCACCAGCCGACGTCGTTCAAGTCTTTGCAGATTAAGAAGATGGTGTTGGGTCGGTCCCTGGTGGCGAACTGCAGTCCCGACTGGGAGGACAGGCCGTCTCCGGCGCCGCCGTCAATGAACCCGTCAACTGTCAGCCGGAACGAGCCAGACTCGTCCGAGAGGCTGAACGTGCCGTACTGGGCGAAGGCTATCCTGCCGTCGACGCTCTCCAGGTCGACGCGTAGCGACTGAGGTTCGGCCGAGGTGAGCATGTACACCCGCCGGTTGCCGAGCCAGAAGTTGCCGCTGTCGGTACGAAAGGCCTCGCGGTAGCCCTCCCAGTCCTTTCTGGTGAAGACGTCCGCGTCGTCGCGGCTGGCGCGCCGCTGGATCAGCGTCCAGCCGCCGCCATCGGTGGTCATGTCGCACTCGGCACGCACGGCAGCTCCCGGCTGGGGGACCAGCGCGTAGGTGCCGTCGGAGGTGGCGCCGGCGCGCCGCAGCTCGGCACAGTCGCGGAACATGCACGGCCCCGAGTCCGGCTGGCCGTAGGTCTCCCCACACTGGCACTGCTGGCCGTCCGGGGTCAGCGCTGCCACGCACACGCACTGCTGGTCGTGGCATTTGGCGCCGACGGTGACGCAGTCGGCCTGTGTGTCGCACCAGTCGAGCAGGCGGCTCCGTCCGGGCCTCTCCAACAGTACGGCTGACTGCTCGGTGCCCGGCTCGATGAGACTCGGGTGGCCGCGGTGCTCGCTGAGCCTGCACTGGACCCGCCGGTCGGGGAGGTCCGAGACGCTGGCGCTCAGACACTCCGGCCGCGCCAGGCACGCCCACCGACACTGGCACTCGCTGCCGGTGGCGAACTGTGCCGAGAGGAGCGAGTCCGGCAGGTAACCTCCGGTGGTCCAGGCGGCCTGGCGCATGGTCATGTAGTCGGTGGTCCCGGAGAGAGTCGCCCTGACGGACAGCCCTAGCAGCAGCACCGTCACCGGCCACCGCCGACCGGCCGGCGGTAGCGCCATCACCACAGACCTCTCGCTCACCCCAACCCGGCTCCCGTCCGTCTATTCGGCCGCTGGCTCTTCCCTCCCACCGCGTCAGTGACCCCACAGTCCCGTCCGTCGCCTCCCTTGCGGGTTCTGTTCCCTCTCCGGCACAGGTCGGGCGCTTCGCACGCCGGTCCGTCCCTCCTCAGAGTGGCCGCTTACCCCGACACACGGACAGCGACCCCCGTGGCCCGTAACCCTTGCCGACGGGGTCCGCCGTCGCCCAATTGGAGAGCGAGCCATCGGTCGCGTCCACGTGCCCCGCACCCCATTGGACAGAGGCGCAGTTTAGGCCCAGTCACGACAGCAACCGGTAAGGTAAAGAACACGGTAGTCAGCAGACAGTCGTGAATAAGCGGCGAGCCACGGCCCTAATGAAATCCCGCTGTTCGGCTGACGCAGTGCAATTATGAATCGACTTACCACCGCACTCCGAAATGAAATGACATGCGCTGCGACCTCGTATGTGGGGAAAACGTTTCATATGGCTAAGTGATCCCCTTGTCGTAAATCAATGGCTGTATGCTGTCTTATCTTATCTAAAGGCGGATATTGCAGCGGTAGTAGCGGGGAAAATCGTTTGCGCCCTGCTGGAGCAGCAATTTATGGAATGTAAAATAATAGTGGTTCCCCGGTTTTTTAGAAACACAAAGGAAATTAGACAACTGCACCAGTGACAAGAAACTCGTAGCAAACCGTACCACTGTTATCAAAATGACAAACGGCATGAAGTCGCGCTATGGAGTCCTGCATGATGCCAGTAATCATATGCAAACTATGTCAGTATCATTATGATTAGCACAGTTGTTGTAGGACATAACAGTTTATCACACACTCAAATGCTTGAAGTGTGGGACAAAGAGCACCTTTTAACAACATATTGTTTTTTCACTTATATCTATCATTCATAAGGTCGAATTAATTTTCTAATCCAAACTGTTTTATTTCTAGATTGTTGCTAATATAGAGGGTGATAAAAAGTGATAGTGAGTGATACTGAGTGATAAAAACAGCGAAACGCCTCACTCCGAGTGCCGGTGCCGGTGTAATCCTGCAGTCGCAGCGGCCGTTAACCTACTGCGGACTGACGACATCCCGTCCCTGGCGACTGTGCCCCGAGGCGACCCTCGCCGACAGCTAACCTGCTGAGGGTCGGCAGTGCCCTCCGGTGTCGCCCCCCCCCCCCCCCCCGACTGTCCCTCCCTGTCCGCTAACCTGCTGTTGGAGCCGATGCAGTCCATCAGACACTCAGCCGCCCGGCTGACCTGACCCTCCCACCCACTGACCTGCTGTTGGAGTCGATGCAGTCCGTCGAACACAGTCGCCTCGGTGCCCACCAGATCCTCGATGGCCGTGTTGATAGCCATCGACATGAGCGCCTCGTTATCCACCACTAGGTCCTGACGGTGAGGAGTCACGTCAGTATAGTCAGTATATAGTCCGCACTCGGTATACAACCAGTGTACAGTCAGTATACAGTGAGGGGCCATCGACATGAGCGCCTCGTTATCCACCACCAGGTCCTGACGGTGAGGAGTCACGTCAGTATAGTCAGTATATGGTCCGCACTCGGTATACAGCCAGTGTACAGTCAGTATACAGTGAGGGGCCATCGACATGAGCGCCTCGTTATCCACCACCAGGTCCTGACGGTGAGGAGTCACGTCAGTATAGTCAGTATATAGTCCGCACTCGGTATACAACCAGCGTACAGTCAGTATACAGTGAGGGGCCATCGACATGAGCGCCTCGTTATCCACCACCAGGTCCTGACGGTGAGGAGTCACGTCAGTATAGTCAGTATATAGTCCGCACTCGGTATACAACCAGCGTACAGTCAGTATACAGTGAGGGGCCATCGACATGAGCGCCTCGTTATCCACCACCAGGTCCTGACGGTGAGGAGTCACGTCAGTATACTGCACACAATCGGTATTCTATCAGTAATAGTCAGTGTACCGTCAGTGCAGTCAGTATACCGCCAGTAAACGGTAAGTCATGTCCTAACGGGCGCATGGCGGTTTATAATTATACCAGAAGGGTCAGTATCCCGTCAGTGAGTCGTCAGTGCGGTCATCAAACTGTCAGTACTCAGTATGCCTTCCGCTTAGTCAGAAGTCGGCTGTAAGCCGTATGCATACAGTCAATGTACCCGTACCGTCAGTACCTCGACCTATATTGCGCACAATAAGTACCACACCTTTTGACCTCAGTGCACCAGGGCATTGATCACAGGCCAGGCAGCAGCGCAGTGAATTATTCAGCGGAGCGGTAACTGCCCATGGTTGTGACACCGCCGCCGCCGCTAAGGGACGAGGAAGTGGGCTGAGCCACCGCAATGTGATTATCGAGTCACATTGCACAAAGAGTGTGCAGCTGTTGTGCATAAACGTGAAAATAAAATGCAATATTGTTTAGGTCGGTATGTAACATGACTTCAGCAAGAGTGAGAGAATGCAAAGACAAGTTTTGTTGTCGAGGCGTCTCCTTTAACCAAGCAGAATTTACTTATTTTAAAGTTCCACGCCCTGCTGAGGGGAGGAGTGTTTGAACACCCCCCCCCCCCGCTAACTCAGTTCCTGGACTCCTAGCGACAGGCGGTAAGCGGCATTCGAAAGGGTGTCCAAAATAAGGACGAAACATCCGGTCATTTTTAAGGTCAGGTCAAAAGTCAGGTCACCAGAGGTCGTCAAAGGTAAAATGTTGCCTATTCAACATTTTACGAAACACCGGTACATAGCTCGGGAAGTAATAGAGCTGCAGCGCCGCGGTATAAACGCATTCGATATCCATTTTAACCCTCTTTCCTCAGGTTTGACCTCAGGTCAACAGTTTAACCTCCAGAGAGCAAAAAGGAAACAATAGATGCTTTTTTACGAAAAAAAAGTTTTGTTCAATAACATCGTCGAGAAGAGTCGAATGAACTATAGGTTGACCCTCAAGGTAAACTTGAAAATTTGACCACAAGCCAAGATCATGACCTGACCGGAAAAGGTCATGTTGCATATCAGTTGATCCGTATGGCCGAATTCAACACATCGTAGGCGTTTTCATCGCTGTAGCATGCCTCTACCAGAATGTATTGGCGAAAGACTGTCGGATACCGTAAGCGACCTGAGATGACCTCAGGGGCATAACGAGGGGTCACAGCCCACAGGTGCCACTTTCTGGTTCAGCATGTCATGTTCACTTGTAAATCCGTGTTTGAAAGTGTTCAGAATGACTTTCGTCCCAAAGAGGCACCAGGCGCCTATCAAAATTCTCCCATTGACTTATAATGGAGAGGTCGCAGGACCGACCTGACCTTAGGTCATCGATATTAGGATTCCGAGACATACATTTTGTACATAATGCTGCTCTTATCAATTGCTAAAAGTTTCAAAGCGATCGGTCAGTAGGTGTAGCAATGGCAGGCATCGGGATCTTTTAGGAGGTGAGGTCCCTTGACGTGACCTAGTGATCTGACCTTGAGTGATCTTGGTCTGAAATTTTCACGGCATGTGGGGAAAAGATGTATGATGACGGGTGCCAAAAACGGCGCCGCGCCGCTGTTTTCTTTTTTAGATACCTTTCCGCGAAAAACCTCAGACAGGGTTTCAAACATCCCCCCAGCAGGGCGCCGGTTAAGCCCTTACGGCGGATTTAAAGGCTTCAGCTCGATTGGGAGCGAGATGATCCACTAAAGTAGCCGCGCCGACTCCTCATGTGTACTTCAGGAGCTTCGTATGAGCGGACGAGGTTTGAATACGCAAACACAATGGCGCCTACGCCGTAAAGAAGGGTTTTCCGCCTAAAAAAGAACTTCTTCGCTACGTTCGTCTTCAAAAGCACGCTGCGCTGCCTATCGACTATTCCAGGTTTTTTTTGGAAACAGTGGAACAGCGGAGCGGGATCACCTGTCATCAGTCGCACCCACCTGCATGTACTTCTCCTCGATCTGCGTGTAGAGGTGCTCATAGGCGGGCAGCCGTACGCCGGCGTCTGCCAGGCTCTGCAGGGTAGCGAACAGGCAGCGCTCGCTCTCGGCCAGCAGGCCGTGGCCCTGCAGCAGCAGCTGCAGCCGGCCGCGCTCCATCAGCTGCAGCGGCGCGCTCAGCAGCAGCTGCCGCAGCTCGTTCTCGCGTGTTGACACGCTGTGCCGCACCCAGTCCAGGATGAAGGTCAGCTGACGCTCCGGGGACAGGTCCAGCTCCTGCATGGGAGACGGGGGGGGGGGGGAGTCAGCCGCCGCCGCCGCTCCGGGTGCGCGGGCAGAGCAGCTATTATACAATACGTACTACGTACTACGGAAGGGAAACGATGAAAAACCATAGGCAAGTCAAATTATTGTCAATGTCTGGGGAGAAAGGCAGCCTTTGTGCGTCGAGAAACGTTTTCAGCCCAGATCAGCTCAACGCACGTTACCACGTAGCCGCCACCTCGCGCCAGACTGTGCCACTCCAGTCTCCATAGATGGCGTTAACCCAGCCGCTCCGACCCTGTGTCGCTCCCATCCCGGTCCGGTCCAGTCCCGCCGCCCCAGTGTCTCACCTTGTCGTTGATGATGGTTTCCACCTTGCTGTGAGGCAGCTCCATGGCTTCCTGTTGCCGCAGCACCTCGTCGATGTGGTGGCGGACGAAGGCGGCCGCCGTGCGCAACAGCTCACCCATCTGGTACTTGGCGGCCATGTCCAGCACGGACAGACAGTTGGTCACGTCCAGGTAGCGCTCCAGGTACTCGGAGCAGTGGCCGCGCAGCTTGAGTACGCTCAGATGGTTCGACAGGCGCACTAGCTCGGACACGTTGTGCTTGTCGATCACCACGTTACCCGTGTAGATGTAGTCGAGCAGGCATTTGAAGATCTCGTGACCGCCACAGCTGGGAATCTCCACCTGCTCCTTGGCCACCCGCTCCTGTTTGAACCGGGCCTGGAAATACTTGGAGCAGGCGGCCAGCACGCAGCGGTGCGCCTCAAACTCCTGGCCCTGCACGTGCAGGATGACGTCGCAGAAGGCGTTCTGCTCGCGCTGGTGGTAGAGCGTCTCCAGGACGGCGTTGCCGTGCTGGTTCTCGGTGAAGTTCATCGAGTTGTTGGGCAGCATGTTGGCCGCCGCCATGGTCATGGCGGCCATGACTACGCGAGGTCACGCTGTCGCCACGCCTGGTGGCTGCGCTGGGGAGTGGGGAACGCACCAGGGTTCTACGTGGTTCTGGGTGCGCTTTGGAGCAGATCGGCAGCGCACGAGAGCTCACAGAAGCCCTCCACGGGTCATTTCTCACGCAACTCTTGCAGACTACTGAAAAAGACAACCCAATTTCTTATTTGAGCAAAACCATGGACCATTTCTGAGAATATACACATCACTTCTGCATTCATGACAATTACAACTTTTTGCGTTAGCTTTTGAATTCACTATTGGAAAAAAACATTGGTACACATTCGCCATATACCTAGGTGGCGCTACCAATGGGCGGTTAGTCACAAAGAATCGCCATTGTGGAAATCGGCGGTCCTCCTGACAACTAAACATTGAGCGAATGGTTCAACATGAACATTGAGCAAACAAATCGTCAATAGTCGAAACTATTGGTCATTTGCCGAGCTGGCTGATGGCTCGCTCAATGCCGAAGTCTGGCGAAGTGTCAAACTGTTTTGCAGATCGGTCATTTCAGTGGTCAATCTGTTTTGCTGAATGGCTGAAATGAAACACACAATGCCGGAATAGTTGTGCTGATGCAGATCGTCGAAATGGCTCCTCAAACAGTTATGGCGAATGGTTGAATTCAAATGCAAAAAAGGTGTATTAACCCTCGCCCCTATCGGGGGGAAGAACGGACCCCCTCAATTTTTCGCAAATAACTCGCGCAAAAAACGGACGATCGTGACAAAACTTTCGAATTGATCGATTTTACACCTACCCTGAAAATGTCATGACCCTGACCCAAATGACATTTGACCTGTGACCTATTTCTCGAAGCCATGTTTGGAGAGAATATCAGTTCCGCGTATGTCAGTTCGCATTAGCCGCACGTTTGCAGTCTTTTTGTAGTTTCAAACGTTGAAACATGTCATATGATGCTGATCCCACGCATTGGGTGTCAAGGTCACCTGAAGGTCAAGTCGTAAGGTCGTAAGACTCGTAAGCCATGTAATAGGAGTGGTTTTGTAAAATCTGGTGTTTTCAAGTTCTGAACTTAGCTTTTTACTGAACTGTTAGGCATTGCTGTTTGCGAGGAAGGGTGGTTAAAAAGGGATTTTAGTAGTATTATAGCATATGCACCAAGTACGGAGAGACAAAAAAAAACAAGACAGTAGGTAACTACTTGGCTTATGTGCAACATTATCAATACTTTTCTGTCATGTGATATATTCCAAATTGCACCAACACATATTGTGCCATGGCATGGGCACATCTAGGGATATGCCTAGACATTGAGGCTTTCACTGCAATCATCAGCCAGTGCTGGACTCCAGAAGGTCTGAGCAGGCCCCTACTGACCAATATCAATGAGGCCATTCAGGAAACAATAAACATTACTGGTATTTGTCAAGATAAGGTCCAGTCAACAATTGTGGCACTGTTGATAAAACAGCAGAAATTGTAGGGTTTAGGTTGTAGGTTTATAGGTTGTAGGTTAGGTCAGGTTAGGTTAGGTTAGGTTGTAGGTTTTAGGTTGGTAAGTTCATAGGTTGTAGGTTGGTAGGTTGCAGGTTTGTAGGTTGTAGGCTGGTAGGTTACATGTAAGTAGGTGAGGTTAGGTCAGGTTTGATTGCTTTTTTCTTTTATTTTTGAGGCATGTATCATCATTTTTTTTTTATTCAGGATGTTAAATAATGCAATAATATGAATTATGAAAAATGTATACTTGAAAAGTTATCTGGACTTTATTTTGACATTTACCACATTATGCCCCTTGCCAGTAAAAGGGCTTAGGTGCTTTGCATTGTTCTTCCACATGGCGCAGTTACCAGTTAGGGCATAGTTGTGCCGGTTTACATAGCATTGGATGCAATATTGATATCCGAACATCGCAAAATCACAGAAAATTCATGTAATGGAGCCTAGCCATATGAGTTTCCAGAAAAACAACAGGTAATGTTAGAACTTCTCACAGCACCGGCTGTGCGCAGCTATGTGAACATGTTAAACTTTGGACTCTGAATTCTACCAGAGGAAGTTGTGGCTGCAACATCTACAAACCACTTCAAAAATCTGCTGGACCGACATCGGACTGCTGCACCCTAACCTGTCATCTTGTCCCAAACCAGTATGATGTGGGTACTAAATAGACTGTGTCTAAACCTAATCCACTACATAAACCTTAACCTAAACCTTAACCTACCAAGAACCAGTCTGTGCAATCGGAGGGTAGAGGGCACCAGGCAGTCAACGCAACCAACTTCGCTTAGCGGGGGCCGGGGCTCTGTCCTTGTGAATCAGACACATTCCATTCAAAAAGGTTTGGACTGAATTTATAATTAAAAACTTATAAGCAAAATTACAGGTTATCCGAAAAGGCCATACTGATGATACAATTAGAATAAGTGTTCCACGTTGCCAATATAAGCAAAATTTCGTACAAACTGAGTCCTGCAAGGCCGATTTCCACATTTTCTGGAATGCGCATAGGTAGGTACCTACAAAGAATCACGAAAAGTAAATGGCATGTTTGCAAAATGACTATAAATAGTAAATACCGATAAATACCAATGTTAAATACCACCCAAGATTCTTACAGATAATACTTGGATATTGGATACTTTTGTGCAGTTTTAAAATGGCGCATCAAATGGACAATTTTGTCTTTATGAATGCGCTGGAGTATTGCTTGCATTGATGACGAAATCAGTTTCAGACCAACTATCAAATTTTTGTACCTATTTACGACTTGATATTTTTTGTATGAATTTCAATCCATTAATATTTTAATGTTTATTAAAAAATGAAGGCTTTTTGACTACCAATTATCGTATGCATGGATAGAATTTCACTTAAAGTAAAATAAATTTTGAAATGTATGACGTCATTGAACCATAATAATTTTCAGAAGTATTTTGCGCGATCCTGCCCATTTCTTAATCCTTGGTTTGATCATTTATTGCCGGCACTGGGAATTGCAAATTACTGTAAATTAGGTGCATGGCCTTGATATTGGCCTAAATATGGCCTTGACGTGAATCATACTGCTGAATTAGAACTCTGTCTCTGAGTGCACTCAAACACTGTATCAAGGCCATCTATAGAGCACTGAGTGAGTATAGGCCCTGTGTTGGTGTAGTTAAAACCCTTTCTTATGCCTATTTTTTTCATTTGAAGGCTAGGATGTGTTGAAACTTGAACCAAAACCATTTTTATTTTCTGACCATTTATGGTCATGGCATCACCCGCATCACGCACTCCACTCAGCCATTGATTGTGATTGCAATTGTTTCATTAATATTTGGATCTCAATCTGCCCCTGGTAGCCAGACTGGAAAATACACATTATGCTGAAAATGTCTGGCATAGTGGCGGAATTGTGCCGAAAATTTCTGCACACATACGTCCTCCTTAATCTTGCATGCGTCGAATTCAGCATTTGGCTGCCAGACTGGAAAAATACATGTTTTGCCGAATATGTCTGGCGTAGTGGCGGGATTGCTCAGAAAATTTCATCGCACATCCGGCGTAACCTTGCATGTGCCGAATTCAGCGCATAGCGGTGGTTGAATTTTTGTCGCAGGGCGGCCGCATAATTTTTTGGAGAAAGACGGTCACCGAATTTAGTCGGAATGCTGATCAATCTAGCAGCAGATACACCCTATACGGGTCTGGAGAGGTTTCGGAACAAGACGTCTCCCGTCCCCACTGGCGGATCCATGGCCCCCCCCAAAGGCCTAAAGTGGCCTGTTTGGCCCCCCCCCCAAAGCGCCAGAAAAATTGCTAAGAAAATATACCTTGATGGAGGTTTTTAGCCACTTGGTGAAGTAAAGCTTTCCACAGCATAATAGGGAAGCAATATAGTAGCAGTGAGGGTCAGTCAAAAGTTGCGCGAGCGGAGTCGACCTTAAAAAAAAAGACTGTTGTTGGCACGTGTTTATGGCGCGGCAGCTGGTAGTTGGCGGTGTTTCGCGTGGTGTGGCATCACTGGCGGATCTGGGGGGGAGGGGGGCACGGGAGCCTGAGGTGCCCCTGACAGGCCCGTGGTGCCCTTGCTAGGCCTGTGGTGCCCCTGGACCCTGGCAGGCCTGTGGTACAGTCCACAGCAGAAGTAATGTGGGGTTTCAGTCATGGGTATGTTCTGCTTCTGAAGCTTAGGAACGATTAGCCAGACTACAATGAAACTTTGAATGTAGCTTAGGGGAAGGTGGGGTAAGACGGCCCAGCGGGGCAAGACGGACCACCAGCCCTCCCGGCTGAACCGCTGCTGGTATCTACTGCTTTATGCACTCACTATGTTTGTTTTCCTTCGTAACAATGGCCACCTTGAGCTCATGCTGCTAGGATGCATAGCTTTTGAGTTATTGAGAAAAATGTTGTTTTTCGTCAAACCGATCTAATATAAGAGGTCTACGAGTGATTCAATTACGGCGCCTTTCATGCATGATAAGTTTCTATTTTGCACTTAACTGTGAAGAACAAAGTTATAAATTTAGTTATAGTCACACTTAAGGAAAGGCAAGGTTTTGCAATGTTGGGCTATTTGACATATACGTCATGATAATGACAGAATTTAGATTTGGGGCAAGACGGACCACTGTGGTCTATCTTACCCTGTGGTGGTCCATTGTACCCTGCATATGGAAAGTTCTTTTCCAAAACATTGACACTAGTTTAAGTAAGCTAATTTTTCAGCAAGGAGTCTTTGTTGCATGTGAGCCATGCATGCAAGTGCCCAGTTAGCATGCATTCATGCCAAACGACAATCAACACACATGTTCCCAGCTTTTAGCTGCACTTCCATCACACATGAGTAAAGAATAAAGGCTCATTTTGTTATCTTACCATTCTGGTTACTTTTTCTTACAAGAGTACAGGGCAGAAGTGTAACACACATGAACGGATAGCAGGCACTGCTGGGTGGTCCGTCTTACCCCACGTTTTTTCTTGTCTGAGTTTTTGACATGTCCCTCTTTAAGAGCACCCACCACCTAGATGTCTTTAATTTGAAATTTAGTCTTTACACATATCAACAGAGGAAGGATTGAGCATTCCGAAGACTATAAATAATATGAACTACGAGAGCAGTGTAGCAAGATATGCGGCCTCAAACCTTAGCTGGTCCGTCTTACCCCACCTTCCCCTATATGTATCGTCACCCTTGCAGCTGCAACTTTAGCTATTGACATCTTCTTTTCAATCACTTCGCATTAAACAATCGCCAGTCAAAGCCAACAGTTGAGTTTGGTAAAACCCTACATTACTTTAGCGGTGGGCTGTACCTCTGGCGGGCCTAGGGTGCCCCTGCTAGGCTGCTGATGCCCCTGGGACCTGACAGGACTGTGGTGCCCCTGACAAGCCTAAAGTGCCCCCAACAGGCCCGTGATGCCCCCGACAGGCCCAAGGTGCCCATGCGTGATGCCGTGATGCCTGCGAGGCCGGTGGTGCCCCCTGCGAGGCCGGTGGGGCCCCTGACAGGCCCATGGTGCCCCTGCTAGACCGGTGGTGCCCCTGGCAGGCCTGTGGTGCCCCTGCTAGGCCGCTGGTGCCCCTGGGCCCTGACAGGACTGTGGTGCCCCTGACAGGCCCAAGGTGCCCCTGCAAGGCCGGTGGTGCCCCTGTAAGGCCTGTGGTACCCCTGCTAGGCCTCTGGTGTCCCTGACAGGCCCATGGTGCCCCTGCGAGGCCGGCGGCGCCCCTGGCAGGTCTCTGGTGTCCCTGACAGACCTGGGGTGCCCCTGACAAGCCTGTGGGGCCCCTCACAGGCCCGTGGTGCCCTTGCTAGGCCTGTGGTGCCCCTGGCGGGCTGGTGGTGCCCCTACTAGGCCGGTGGTGCCCCTGACAGGCCTGTGGTGCCCCCGGGCACCAAGGGGGTCATGACCCATGTGGCCCCCCTTGGATCTGCCACTGATGCATAATATATTGATTTGTAAAGGCGTTATGGCTTACGCAATATGCAATTGCAGGCACTTGGTATCCCTCACTTATCCCTCATTGGGGCTCTGGCGGGCTCCTGAGGGCCCACGTCTATCTCCGGGAGCCCATATAGACAGGCTCCTTTGGGTCCTTTCAGTACACTAGGGGAAGTTGGGGGAACGCCGAAGACTTTTTTTCTGACGCCCGTAGCACGCAAGGTAGACAACATAAGCTATTCTTGTTGGCGTCATTCGAGAGGCCAGTCTTTTGCCTTTCAAACATACCAGGCGCATTTGATGAATTCGCATACCGTTAAGCGCACAAACTAAAAATATCAAAGAAGTGACTTTTTCGGCGTTGCCCCGGACTGCGGGGAAAGCCGAAAATGGGAGAAATGATCTACGGGGAATGCCGACATTGATGTTTTGCCATTTTATCTCAAACTTTATCCAGAATTGATCAAAGCTGACACGCGTTTTAAGAGCTTGAGGACGCGGTGCACACTGGAAGTTATAATTGTGTGATATAATAAGAACATGCCAGGTAAATCATTCCTTATAGGTTACAGGCCGTTGTGTCGGTTGAAAGTGTAATTTGTGTGACTAAAAATACGCGTTGCTATTCTACAGCAGTAAAGTCCACGTAGCGTGCTTTTAACACGTGCGTAATCGCACGTTTTCGGCATTACCCCAGCCTGCCATACTTTCATTTGCAGGCCCATAACTTTTCAACGTGCTGTATAAATTTCAAATAGGCAGCACACTTATGCAAAGACATGCTAAAGATTACTTGACCGAATTGGCCGGACAAACGGTAGCATAATGAGTAAGAAATGCAGCTTCAAAGGCGCATGTAGTACAAGGGAAACGTACCTTGAAAACGCTCTTGGCGCCCTCACAGTCGAAGTATTCCGAATGACGACTCGTAACAAATATGCGATAATTGTAGTCACTAAAGCTTCAGAGCATCACTGACAGGTGGCATCCATGTCTTACGGTTTTCGAAATATCTCGAATTTCGGCTTTGCCCCAACTCCGGCATTGCCCCAACTTCCCCTATAGCATAAGAGGTCTCCATGCGAGTCCTATACATACATCTGAGGGCGTACCCTGATGTCTGAGGTACCCAACTGCAGCTCCAATGGTCTCTTCTTACACTGGCGGATCCAGGGAGGGGGCATTTAGGGCCATGCCCCCTTCCCAGAGGCCTAAAGTGGCCCGTTTTCCCCCTCCCCCAAACGATAATGAAACATAGTTCAATCAGGGCGTGGCCCAGGAGCCGAGTTAGACAGGGCTGTTTTACCACCTCCCGGCCCGCAAAGGGACCCAAGCACTGACTCGAAGCGGGTTAAAGAGACCCTCCCACCTTCAAAAAAGTTAATGAATTGGCATGAAAGTGATGTCGCTAGGTTCAGAAAGGGCGAAAACGAATATCTACCAAATTTTATCGAAAAATATTCACCGGTTTTCAAGAGATTAGACTTTTATTTTTGTTTACTTTTTGGGATATCCGCTGCTGTTCCTAGCGACTTTATTTGAAAGTGCGGCATTTGTTGCGCGCAAAGCAGCCTATACCACCGCATGCTACCAAACGTTTTAGTAAAATATTAAAAAATCATTAGATCTCCGCTGATGTCACACATTCAGAGGGGTATCCAAAAGCATTAGCCCCTCTGAATCAAAATGCTACAATTTTGAAATTCAATATTTCCGATTTAAGGCATTTCTCGATGTTGTGAGTGCGTGCCGAAACCGGTAATTGTGAGCCAGGGACCCCATTTTGGCTATCTCAGCTCAAATCTAATGTTAAGGTGGTAGGGTCCCTTTAACTGGTCGATAAAAACAATGGTAAGTGTTTACAAAGTAATATAAAGGCATGGGTCGGGTGGGCTACCATTTATATATTTTTCTTTTTAGTTAAAAAAATTCATAGTGTCAGGGCTGTGACGAAAAATAAGTGGCCTAAATCCGATGAGAAAACAGGATTTGGGGGTACCCTAGGTTTGGCTCCTGCATGAGTTGGCCCCCCCCCCCCCCCCCAAAACGCAAGCCTGGATCCGCCAGTGCCCGTCCCAGTCGTCGCGTGCTCGAACTGGCGAGCCTCCCTGGGTCTACTCAGCGGAGGAGCGGCCGCCCAGGTGAGGCCTCAACCCTCGGCGTGGAGACAGCTATGGAAGACGTTGTTCAACATCGCCGAGCGTCGTAATACTGCAGTGGGTTTCTGCCCACCACGGTATCGACTATTGAGGGGTATGAGAGCGCGGACGACCTGGCGAAACAAGCGGTCGCCCTGCCCTCAAACGCCCGCTCGCTGACTGGGGCGGTTCATCGTGCGGCCTCGCATCAATGGCGCGACAACTGGTCCGAGTCCCTCACTCCTCGGGAGCACGCCACCGCTCCCTATCCCCGGAGAAGACCGAGAGGACGCCATTTCGGTGTACCAGCTGAGGGCGGGCCTGACTAGGGTCGCTCGCTCTAGTACGTGCACCGAATCAGCTGTCTCCACTCCGCGGCGTGCCAGCAATGCCCAAACAAGCGGTACCGTGTGCCGAGAAGAGGCTGATGTGCCGGAGCACGTGCTGCTCCGCTACCCGGCCCTCGCTGGCTCCCGCCAGCCTCCATGCCCTCCAACACACCGCTCCGCCGATTTTTGTGGCCCCGTAACTTCCGGCTCCGGCCTTGTTTCACGGCACGACGCTACAGTGCACCGTGTGCTAAGCGTATTGAAGTATTGGACTTCCGTGGAAATAAGAAACTTATTCGGACGCTGGACCATGGAAGAGCGTCCAAGGCCCCGGAACGCTCTGTCTGGTTGATGTAGCCTAGATCGGTAGATGTGCACATGTGCTTTGTATTTAAGTTTGGCACAAATAGGCACCCAACTTTCGGCGCAAACCATGCAGAAATTTCAGCACAAAATCGCTTGCGCCGAATTTCGGGCAAGAGGGCCTCATTGACGTCCGGCTTAGTGTATGGATGTTTTCCGGCCTTTGTGGCGGCAGCCGAATTTTTCGTTGCAGGGCTGCCACAGATATTTTTGCGAATGGCAGTCACCGAATCAGTCAGCACGCTGGCTAATCCACCTTACCCTACCTTCGTGGTGATCGGGATTGAAAAGGCCACTTGGCCTGGAGATCCCGCTCTCATCGAACTCATCGAGATACAGGCTAGGCTGTCAGGGATATGGGGTGTCGTACATGATACCACCCCAATGCTTGTCCAGCCGGGCCTTGAACTGGTTGATGGACTGTACCATGGCCCATGACCACTGCACTCAGTAGGGAGCTCCAGTCATTAATGACCCTGAAGCGAAAGCTGAACGCGTTTCTCCGCACGAGTTTGGTGGCCCTCGCCCCTCGGTTTCTCGAGCTTCCACTCGTGGCCCCTAGTTCGAGCTGGAATGATCGGTGTCGAGAAGTTTTCTGGCGATATGGCCAACCCTTCGTGCAGCAGCTGATATAGGGTCACCGTGTCGCCTCTGCGCTTCCGGTGGTAGAGTGATGGTAGTCCCAGCCGACGGAGTCTTTCAGGGTACGGGAGGTGCTTGATTTGTGCGACCATTCTTGTTGCACGACGTTGTACGCGTTCAAGCCTCTTATGGTTCAGTCTTTTCACAAAGGTCCTCAGATTGTGTTCCCATGTTCTAGGAAGTAGGAGGGGCCGAACCATGGTCTTGTAGAGAAGTGGCAGCGTGTCTTCGTCGATGTTGGCGAATGAGCGTCTCACGACGGCCAGAATCTGTGAGGCTTTAGCGACGGCTGGCTCGGTCTGCTTGTGAAAATTGAGTTGGTTGTCGATTTCAATGCCGATGTCTTTCTCCTCTTCAGCGTTCTGGATCAGGATGTCGTTCCAATAGTACGCATGCCCCGGGCTTCGGTGGCCGAGGCGCATCGCCTTGCATTTTTGGAGCAGCCACTTCTCAGGCCAGCGGACGAGCGCATCAATGTTAGCTTGGAGGTCGTTGCTGCTACCCAGGACGCGGCGGTATTGTTCGTGTCGACGGCGAACAGTTTGACCGAACCAGTGACCTCCGAAGGAAGATCGTTGACAATGCAATCGTTGAAGATCGTTGAAGATGCAACCTTTTGCTAAAAACCTCAACACACCAGTCTTTATGGATTGTATAGTCGGCTACAGAATGATGTTCCACTTTTCACAGGCCATTATTTGCCTCGGGTGGTAGGCTGTGCCGCATCACACGGCTGAGTTCACAAATTATAGCTTTGCCCCAATGCTCACAATCGACACTCCTAATTACGTGATAAACGGCACAACTTAGCGCTCCGGTCAACTGATAGCTTCTGAGGAGTGGAACATCATTCTGTAGTCGACTATACGTGGGGCTCAGCTGGCCCATGTCGATCTTTTAAACTGAAAGCCCCATTTAGCCCCCTGAGGGCTCCCACATTGGTAAGAAGTCCCATGCTGACAACTGAGGGCCCAAGGCCCATGTGGCCTGGGCCTCTAAGGTCCCAGTCAGTCGTTGAAGACCTCACACGGGCGCCTAACCACCCTCACCGGCCTTCTAGAGCTCATTCAGGGCCCAATAGGTCCTCGGTCGGTTGGTTTCTTTCGTGTTGCATTGGCTACACTTAAAATCATGCCGAGCTCGAAGAGTCCACGTCAATCTGTAACAATCCTACGAGACATTAGACAAGACATAAGCTTCTCAGGCCTCAGCCGGCTTCTGAGACCCCACGGAGGCCTCCGCCGCGAAACTCCAGGGCGGCCTCTATACAGGGCCAGGCCCGCATTAGATGATCCCACATCGGCCTTTGAACACGGAGCCCCGCGGCGGCGCACCGTTTTTGATAGGTAAAATGTAACGCATTCACTTATATTGTCCGTCTCGGCAGGTAAGCACGTAAGAAGCACGTAAGCACCAGGGACCGGTCCGCACCGGTCGCCGCCTCAGACCAGAACCAGACCAGACCCGGCCACCCCAGCGGCCCGACCTCGGGCCAGTCACGGTCACGTGACTAGCGCCCGCGGCGCACACCAAGCCCCAACTCGGCGGCCAGCGCGCCGCCAGCCGGCCAACCGACCTGCTCACTATAACTATAATCAACAACCTCTACAGATATATTCGCGAAAAAAAAAACTGAAGGGGAGCGTTAAAACGCCCCCCAGCACCGAGCACGGTGCGTGTTAACTTGAGGCTGCTAAATGCGTCATTTTTATGTCCCGTTAAGGTTGTGATTGTGATCACTGAGTCGCGAGTTTATGACTTCCTAGGAGTGCTCCTCTATAGATGGCCTTGAAAGCTACCTGTGGAAAAGGGCCAAAAAGGGTTCAACCCCAGGCTTGGGTCAGCAAGTGAAGCGTTATTAGTTACAAGTGGAGTAAAAATGCGGAAAGTCTTGATGGTAGCCGAAAAGCCATCTTTGGCGTCCTCGATCTCAGCTATTCTAAGTAACGGACAAGCTTCTTCAAGGAAAGGCCGCAACGGAGCCTGCCACGTGCACGAGTGGAATGGCTCGTTCAGGGGAGAGCCGGTCCGTTTCCGGATGACGTCCGTCTGCGGCCACGTCATGTCGCTCGACTTTATCGGAAAATACAACAGCTGGGAGCGCGTGGACCCGGCGGAGCTCTTCTCGGCCACCACCGAGAAGAAGGAAGCCACGCCGAAACTGCGAATGCCTGAGTTTCTGGCGAGCGAGGCGGTCGGCTGCGACTACCTGGTGCTCTGGCTCGACTGCGACAAGGAAGGCGAGAACATCTGCTTCGAGGTGCTGGCCGCTGTGCAGAGCAGCATGAGCCGCCCTCCCCCGGACAGACAAACCATCTTCCGGGCCCGCTTCTCAGCCATCACCGACCGCGACATCCGTGCCGCCATGAGCAGCCTGGTGGAGCCCGACGAGAACGCGGCGCGCAGCGTCGACGCCCGCCAAGAGCTGGACCTGCGTGTGGGCTGTGCGTTCACACGCTTCCAGACCCGGCTCTTCCAGGGCAAATATGGTGACCTGGACTCGACGCTGATCTCGTACGGCCCGTGTCAGACGCCAACGCTCGGTTTCTGCGTGGAGCGCCATGACCAGATCCAGTCCTTCCAGCCCGAGCAGTACTGGAAATTGGCGCTCACCTGTGACGTGGACGGCGGCCAGCAGATCGACTTCGAGTGGGCCCGCGTGCGCTGCTTCGATAAAGAGGTGGCTTCCATGTTCCTCAACCAGATCAAAGATATCAAGTCAACAGTCGTTGACAGCGTTGTAAGCAAGGAGAAGGCGAAGGCACGGCCCCAGGCGCTCAACACGGTGGAATTGATGCGGGTTGCCTCGTCGGGCCTCAACATGAGCCCCCACTACGCCATGCAGATCGCCGAGCGGCTCTACACGCAGGGCTACATCAGCTACCCGCGCACAGAGACCACCCAGTACCCAGAGAACTTTGACCTGCTTGGCGCCGTGCGCCAGCAGCGCGACAGCGCCGTCTGGGGCGAGCAGGTGCGCGCCCTGCTGGAGGCCGGCCTGCGGCAACCTCGCCGCGGCGTCGACGCCGGCGACCACCCGCCCATCACACCGATGCGCCTGGCCAGCCGCCACACGCTGGACGACGACAGCTGGAGGATCTACGACTACGTGGTGCGCCATTTTATCGCGACGGTGCACCGAGACTGTTCGTACCTGAGCACCACAGTGACGGTGCGGCTGGGCGGCCAGCAGTTCACCGCCACCGGCGCGCGGCTGCTGGACGCCGGCTTCACAGAGCTGATGGACTGGCTGGCCGTGGGGCGGGCCGAGCCGCTGCCCCAACTGGCGCCCGCAGACCTGCTCAACGTCAGCGCCCTAGCTCTGACGGACCACTACACCTCGCCACCGGGCTACTTGACCGAGGCCGAGCTCATCACGCTGATGGAGAAGCACGGCATTGGCACCGACGCCTCGATCCCAGTCCACATCAACAACATCGGCCTGCGCAACTATGTAACTGTGGAGGCGGGCCGCCGGTTGGTGCCCACCACACTGGGCAACACGCTGGTGCACGGCTACCAGAAGATCGATCCGGACCTGGTACTGCCCACGATGCGCTCGGCCGTGGAGCAGCAGCTGAACCTGATCGCGCTGGGGAAGGCCGACTTCCACTCTGTGCTCACTCACACGCTAAATATATTCAAACAAAAGTTCCACTTTTTCGTCAAGAACATCAGCTACATGGACCAGCTCTTCGAGGACTCGTTTTCGCCGTTGGCCTCCTCTGGAAAGCCGTTGTCCAGGTGCGGTCGGTGTCGGCGCTACATGAGACTGGTGGAGAGCCGGCCGCAGCGACTGCACTGCCAGCAGTGCGGCCACACGCTGGCCCTTCCCGCCGACGGCCTGGTCCGCGTCTACAACGAGAGCAAGTGCCCACTGGACGAGTTCGAGCTGGTCGTCTGGTCCGGTGGCAAGAAGGGTCGCAGCTTCGTGCTATGTCCGTACTGTTACAACCATCCGCCGTTCCCCGACATGGGCAAGGGCTCGGGCTGCAACAGCTGCTCTCACCCGTCCTGCCGGCACGGTGTGAGCCAGACGGGTGTGTCGGCGTGCAGCTGCTGCGAGCGCGGCGTGCTGACGCTCGACCCCTCCTCGGCACCGCGCTGGAAACTCGTCTGCAACAGGTGTGACGTCGTTGTCAGCGCGTTCGACCAGGCGTCGCTGGTGGCAGTGATGCCGGACGTCTGCGAACAGTGCGGCGCCTACCTCGTCCGAGTCGAGTACAGACCGGAGAAGTCGCGGCTGCCGAACAAGGCTGCACAGCTGACTGGCTGCGCGTTCTGTACTGCGGGGCTGACGCAGCTGGTACAGCTGAAACACGCCCAGCGCAGTGGTGGCCGGCCGCGCGGCGGACAGCGAGGTCGCGGCCGCGGCGGCGGGCCCGACCAGCCGCGCCGTGACAAGATGGCCGAGCTGGCCGCCTTCTTCATGTGATGTGTGATGCCCAAGTGGCTGATCTACGGGGCAGTGGCACTGAGAGCCCGGTCCAGCACCCCGGGCGGCCCGGCCGGCGCACCGGCCTCTGGCCAAGTGCACCGACAAAAAAGTCCTCCATCGTGGCGTGAACCATTGCTTGATTATGGTGGTTGCTAGTTACCAAGTAAGTTATGGTAATTAGCAAGCAAGACCGGTTAGCATGGAAAATCTGTGAGAAGCTACACATGCTCTGAACTGTATGTGACCATAACTGTATGTGATTTACATGTGTACGATGCATGTTTTTTTGTTGGTTGACCCACTAACGGAATTGAACCCATATGCTTTGCAATAAAACTACTATTTATTTCAATACTTTTGGCCTTTTTTAACCATGGCACTAGTTTGATACCGGAGCAGAGTTGCAACTGACGCGGGGGTCATTCATTTGACATGTCGAGAGTCACGCACGCCTAAACGATACACTTTCAAGTTTCATTGGCTCAGATACATTAGAGTCGCGCACGCAGCGCGCCACCATTGCCGATCGCCGTGGCACCACTCATCTCACCTGTCAGAACAACGGAGGGGGGAAGCACATCAGCACGGCTGGCACGAGTAGAAATGTATCTGACACAAAAAGCGCGCGAGCGAAAAATATGGCACAAAATCGCCAAAAAGGTCGCGGGCATTGACCCTTATGTAAATTACACAAAACGCCCGTATTATATGTAAATATGGTTACAGGCCCGTCACCAATAGCACATCACTGCAGCTAGAGCTGCAGCATACTCTGATAAATAAATCGCCAGCTCCAATTCTAGGCGCGCTAACACCGGCTCGCGGCCCGGACAAACTACGCAGACCTGATCCGGAGTGGCGTTCACAAAACAATGCACATCATTCACATCATTCCAGCAGCACATGTCCTCGAACGACCATTTAAAGGGACCCTCCCACCTTAACATTAGATTTGAGTTGAGATAGCCAAAATGGGGTCCCTGGCTCACAATTACCGGTTTTGGCACTCACAACATCGAGAAATGCCTTAAATCGGAAATATTGAATTTCAAAATTGCAGCATTTTGATTCAGAGGGGCTAATGCTTAGGAATACCCCTCTGAATGTGTGACGTCAGCGCAAATATCTAACGATTTTTAAATGTTTGACTAAAACGTTTTGTAGCACGCGGTGGTATATGCTATTTGCGCGCAACATCTGCCGCAAACGCCGCACTTCTAAAATAAAGTCGCTAGAAACAGCGGAGATCCCAAAAAAGTAAACAAAAGTAAAAGTCTAATATCTTGAAAACCAGTGAATATTTTTCGGTGAAATTTGGTAGATATTCGTTTTTGCTCTTTCTGAACCGAGCGACATCACTTTCATGCCAATTCATTAACTTTTTTGAAGGTGGGAGGGTCCCTTTAACATCGTCGCTTATAAAAGGCAAGATGGCCGCACAGGCGTCGACGTCCCCGTCCAGAATAGCGCTCGCAGCCTCCAGGGCCGAAGCTTGAGAAAAGGTCGCAAAAAATACATAACCGGCGAGTCACAACTCACAACACCGGCTAAAACTCGAAACAAGGCGCTACGGCATCGCCCACCGGGGCCGCTGCTCGACGAAAGTCGACGTCAACTCCAAGATATACCTACAAGGTGCGACATGGGACACAAAATAATTTTTTACGGTAATGCGGAGACCTGCACGAACAAAAAAAAATAACTTTAGGTACACCGATCAACTCGTCCGGTTGGCGCGAAACAAAGAGAAAGTCATCCAAATCCGCTTTCCGTTTTATTCCAGGAAAGTGCGTTTCAACTAATTTCACAGTTACCTAGGTACCTACCTACGCACGCGAAATGTTGCATCTCCGCAAGAGCTGTGGATAGGTCCATCGGCAAGCGAGCAAAAAGTTGAATCCATCGCAAATCACAATCAACGCCAAAATTCTTCATGGTACACTTTGCCAAAGGAATGTGATAAAAGCTGTCTTAAAGGGACCCTCCCACCTTCAAAAAAGTTAATGAATTGGCATGAAAGTGATGTCCCTTGGTTCAGAAAGAGCGAAAACGAATATCTACCAAATTTCACCGAAAAATATTCACTGGTTTTCAAGATATTAGGCTTTTACTTTTGTTTACTTTTTGGGATCTCCCTGTTACTAGCGACTTTATTTGGAAGTAATAATTTGGCAGCCTTAAAAGGCGGCAGACGTTGCGCGCAAAGCAGCGTATACCACCACGTGTTAACGATGGTTTTAGTCAAAGATTTAAAAATCGTTAGATCTCCGCTGACGTCACAAATTCTAAGGGGGCATACCAATGCATTAGCCCCTTAGAATCCGAAAACTGCAAGTTTGAAATTCCATATCTTCGAAGTAAAGCATTTCTCGATGTTGTGAGTGCCCAAACCGATATTTGCAGGCCATGGCCACCAATTTGGCTATCTCAACTCAAAACTAATGTTAAGGTGGGAGGGTCCCTTTAATCTATCTGTACATAACATAACCAGCAGCCGCCAGCTCCAGTGCCCGCTTGACGGACGGCAACGGACACGGCCGGCGCGGCATGTACGGGGTGAGCGACGACAAATCATACACAAGGCGCGCGGTATTCTCACTCTTGGGCACCGGCACAAGCATATAGCAGTTCCTCGGTCTACCCGGCAGTAAAACTCCGGCTGACACGAAATCACAAACAATCACCACAGAATCTCTCACCGCCGCAGTCATCAGCGCCGAGCGCGGCGTCATCACCCAGAGACGCGGTCGCCGCCGCCGGCACCCGCACAATTCCGCACGCTAATACACTCCTCAGCTGAGGATGGCAAGAGTACCTATAGGGTAGCATCGACCCGCATCGCCAGCGGCGGCCGCATTCGGGCGCCCGCGCCACCCACAGGCCGACGACGCTCGGCAGCATCACCGAACGGCGACGCGAGCGAGCACCGAGCACGTCCGCAGTGACGTCATCCCCTGCACGGGGCGCACCGCCGCGCCGCCGCACTACACCGCCGCGCCACCTCCAACTCCAACCAGCAGTTCAGTCAGCAGCCGGCAGGCGGCGCGCGGGTGACGCGGCAGCGCGCCGCCGCCGCTGCCACACGCCAACAGAACTCTCCTCCTAGGCACTCCTCTTCCTCCTGTCCACCATCGGAGTGATCACCGTTCCATGCTTCTATCCTCAGGATACTGAAATCCTTCTCCTCCACACCGCCACCCCCTTCCGGGCTGGACAGGCAACTTTATCTCATGCGGGCTGCTCCCTTGGAGCGGCACCGCTGCTCCCGAGGGTGCGCACCCCGTAGCCGGGTGCAGTGAGTGCCTTGGGGCTGGGTGGCCTGTCTTCGGACGGGCTCAGCCCCGGCGACTCACTAGGATGCCTGCCCAGACCAATGTCTCCCCCTATATCCTATTATCCTCCCGGCTCTGAAATGGTCTTACTGGACCGAAAGGGCCTACCCCAAAAAAAAAAACATCGGAGACCGAGACGCCGCAAATCAGCGGCGCCACGGCCGTGGGCGGCACCGCGCCGCTCCCGGAAGAGAACGGCACCGGGGGCGAGACGGGCCGCGGGGAAGGAGCACGGCACGGTCGCCCCACAAGCCGCCCGCAGCGCCGCCCTAATTCTTACGCCTCACATTTCCCCTCCAGCAACTGCAATCTTCTCCGCATGGGCGGCCCACGATCGTATGGTTGGTGGCCGGTAGCACTGACTGAGTCGGCATGTAAAATTACTTGTGGCAAATGGAAATGCCCTGGTATTATCCTGCAATATCACAGTCAGGGCAGTGCGGAGTCGGTCGGAGTCGACAGTTCTGACCGGAGTCTGAGTCGGTGTCGACTGTCGAGTTTGGAACTTTGGAAGCCGGAGCTGGGGTTGGACTATAACCGAAAATCTATCGACTCCGCAGCCCTGATCACGGGGAATCGTTTCTCGGAGCTACTGCGGTTATGCGGTGCGCTGTGCACTAAGGCAGTAACATATGTGACAAAGTGTTACTGCAGTGTGTATCAATGCAGTCTCCACCTCTCTGTGCTACTGCAGTGTGCGTTGATGCAGTCTACACCTCCGGTGTTAGTTATGTGTGCGTTGATGCAGTCTCCATCTTCGGTGTTACTTCTGTGTGCGTCGATGCAGCCTCCACGTCTGTGCTACTGCAGTGTGCGCTGATGCAGTCTCCACCTTCGGTGTTACTTCTGTGTGCGTTGATGCAGTCTCCATCTCCGGTGTTACTTCAGTGTGTGCGCTGATGCAGTCCCCACCCCCGGTGTTACTTCTGTGTGCGTCGATGCAGTCTCCATTTCCGGTGTTACTTCTGTGTGCGTCGATGCAGTCTCCACGTCTGTGTTACTGCAGTGTGCGCTGATGCAGTCCCCATCTAACTGCTACTGCAGTGTACGTTGATCAGTCTCCACCTCTCCGTGCTACTGTAGTGCATGCGCTGATGAAGTCCCCAACTAATAATGCTACTGCAGTGTGCGGTGATGCAGTCTCCATCTCTCTGTGCTACTGTAGTGTGTAATGCTGTAGCCTCCATCTGTCTGTGCTACGTACTCCAGTAGGTAACGGCATGAAAACTGTTTTCTGGTTTAATCGGCAAGCCACGGGCGTACCAAATCATTCAGGACGCCTTACTGTTGCGCATTGCTTGACGCTCATTATGATGAAGTTACAAAAGTCATGTTAACATACCAACTCGATTGACTTTGTTCTTGGTAAAGATTGTTCAGGACACCAGCTTTGTTTATTTTTATTGTTAGCTTTTGGAAGACATCCGTATTCCTTCATCAGCCTGTCTAACCTCTGTCTAATCTAATCTGTCGACTGTCTAATCTGTCTAATTACGGAGCGAGCGAATCGAGCGGAGTCTTTCCTTAGATTAACGGAAACTAGATGGCCATGTTTTGCGCTATAACTGTGCGTTTTGATAGATGCATTTGATGGGGCATTAGTTTGGGGGTGGGAACTTATGATTTTTATTTGTCTTATTTTGTCGGAGTTGGATATTTGTTTGAACGGCATGGTATGCTGGTGCTGGTTGCGGGTTGTTAGAGCCTTTCTCATGGTTTGTCTTTATCGAACTCAAACACACCCTACCCTAACCTACCCATACCCTACCTTACTAATAACTTACACATAGTTACCCTTCTCATACTCGATTAAAGTAACGTACCAAATTTGAGCGCGATCGGCCCAGCCGTTCTTGAGATATCAAACTGGCCCACTGCACGTGCGCACGCGCTGAGACTCCAGATGACTTGTGCCAGCCACCTTTCTAATTTGTCCCCCAACAGTAAACAAAATTTGAGCGAAATCGGCCCAGCCGTTCTTGAGATGTATAAGTGGACCTCTCACGTGCGCACGTGCAAT